CATCAGTCCTGGCATTATACAGTACGGAGGAAAAAAAGCAGAGGAATCTCTTGCATATCTTTACACTACACCCCAAAGGTCGACAACAGTTAGTATTAAAGGCATGGATTACCGCCAAATTTAAATTACCATTAGAACCGCTGAGTCTACAGAATGAAGTATTTATTCACAAATATCCCTGAAAGCATGAATAATGCTTCCATTGGTGCATTATTGTATTGCCCACTAATACTTACTGTCACTAAGTCAGGAAATATAAACAGAAAATAAGCTATCATTGGACAATCATATTGTAAAATAATGTATCATTTTATTTACCACCAACACTTTTTTGTAGATAAAAAAATATTAAATCCTGTAACTACTGAGAGGAAAACAAGCTATTGCTAAGTACAGGGAGAAAAAAACGTCTTTCCTAAATTAAAATATTTTCCCCCACAGAAACTGAAAAATCTGCGCAGCCATCATTTTTTTCTGAAGCTACTTGGCAAAGAGGAGTGATCTAATATATAATCAATATCTCTCTTGCTCATGTGTCCCGCAAAATCACGTCTGCTTTCCTGCAACACAACAGTAATGATGTGGCCACCGTCTAATATAATAGCACTTTAATTAAAACTGAGGTCTTAACTCTGAAAGTCTGGGAGACTGAAACTAGTTATACATTCCGCCTCCGCAAATACGCAAGGGTCCGCAAAGTAAATGCTGTCATCGGAGGGTGTACATGCAGGCCCTGTGCAATTGTCCATGTACCGTCCATTTGTTGTGACTATGCGGTGTGTGTGGATGGTGTCCATGGCGTCGGCAGCTGTCAGATTACGAGTATGTTTGGGAGTATAATTGAGGCTTTAGCACACATAGAATATCCATGATCAAATATTTTTATTTTTTATCTTACATGGTTTACTGTTTTCCCGACTGGTTGAGTGTAATGATGGCTAAGGAGTATTGGCATTTATTGTGATTTATTCCCCATTTAAATATCTCCAATGAATTCAACTAAAGGTTTCAGTAACAGCAGGCTTAAGCTGTATATCTAAGGTGATGGAGAAAATAAGGCAGGTGGGCTGCATCCACACAGAAATCAACTTTAACTGAATTACACCATTGAAATCATTCATTTGACTCGGTTTCTACATTGCCATGGGGTATTTGTCATATCGTAATCTAAAATTGCCAATTCCAATTGCTGATGTAGTTACGGGGATATTTTAGGCCTCACGCTACAATAGGAATACAATGAACACACAAAGCAACACTCATGGTGTGACTTTTGCTGAATGTTACAGATCCTGTACAGGCCTAACTGATTTTCCAAATGACCATGATCACTTTCCAGGTTTTTTAGCCTGGACAAATGAACAAAGTTGAACGGGTTAAGCTGGGAAAAGGTGATCATCCATTCAATGAAAACCAATAAACTGTACATCTACAGTGATCTTCTTTCTTTGTTTATTTTCAACACCAACTGCTTATCTCTTCTCTGCTTCTCTGTTCTTCTCTCAAACCCGTTTCTTGTTTGAAGAAGCCTCAACCTCAGTTGTGATGATCATGTGCTGATGACGTGCAAGAGAGGAAAGACTAGTATAAAAAAAGATGACGGAACAGAGAAAGGTGCACCTAAAAGAGCGCATCAGATATTCAATATGCTAGTATTCTGCATACAATGCTGTAAAGCTGAACCTACACTGTGTTTTTTATCTGTACAGGAAGACAACTTTATTAAAAAGACAAAACGTCATGGGGCTGGTACAGCTCCACAGTTGTTTGCTTTCATGCAGAGCCTGTGAAAAGACCTGGTAATAAATCAAGTAGACACATGAAAGCAGATAGTGTAGTATCCTGTGAATGGGGACACAGTGAAGGAGTCTGATATTTAGATTCCCTGAAGATACACTAAGAGGCTCAGCTTCTCTTGTGTCTCTGCACTACACAAACAGACATCAGAGAAGAATAGAGACATGCTGATGAGGAATATCTAACAAGATGTGAGGGTAGAAGACAAGAAGTGGTTGAGAGAGAGACAAGTGAAACAAAAGCTTCGATAGAAAGCAAAGCAGCAGAGGAAAGGTAGAAAGGGAGTCGAGACTCTTGAAGGACTTTAAAGATGGAAATTTTGAGAAAGCAGCAGTGATAAGAGGAAAGTATTCTGAGTGAATGTGACTGTGAAGCACTATGAAGTGGCAGAGAAGGTGAACTCTGCTACATCTGTAGAAAACAGACACATTAATGAAAATGAAGGAAGCTGCTTGAGAGAACTGCAGAAAGGAATGCAGAGAATTTAAGACACAGAGAAGTAATCAGTGTCTTGAATCTTATGTATTAATACTATTTAGTCGGACTATTTAGTTTTTACGAGAAAAAATACTGTGTTAATTATATGTACAATAGTCTTGTAACAACTTTGCAACAACTTTAAGAATATGTATTTGCATACAGCTTATCACAGCATATTAATTTTAAATTGACACGTCACTCAAAAACTTTGATTGACACATCACTTTACTGAAGCAGACATGGCGCTGTGTCAGCAATATTGTTGTAGCGTCGCAGTACGAAAAAAGACAGAATCACTAGACGAACTGCAATTCAACAAAACAATTGTTCTTTCAACTTTTTCTTTCTTAGGTGTTTGTCCAGCGCTACATTTGTTGCCTTTGGATTATTAAGGTAAATCTTAAAATAAATGATGTAAAATCACATAAATTGTACATTCACCAAGAATAAATGTTTCAATCATACAGATATCATTTGGGGAAATAGGTTCATATTAGTCCAAATGTTTGTGACATCTATTCCATCTGTGATGCCAAAACATCCCTTTCCTCAGCCACAGTCTCCAGCTCCTCCTAAAGCATTTGAGGCTCTATATGTATATCATGTAATTCCCCCGGTATGTCTGTCTGCTCCAAGGTCTCCTCCCAGTCGGTTGTACTAAAGAGCCTCCACAGAGAGATTTCCAGTATGCACCTTGCCCAAAACAACTTAACTGCCGCCTTTAAATGCAGAGCTAGTTTAGTTGAACATGCTGGAACACCTCCAGTGGGGGACATCTTTGTCCTCCACTGGAGGTGGGCGGGGGCAGCTTTCGATTCTTGAATCGAAAGCTGCATAAGAGGACAACAGAACTACATTATCAGCACGAAGCAGAGCTGCTACTTCGACTATATACAAGATCGGATTGCTCATAACAGCTGTCCAAGCACTTATATTCATGTATCACCCCACAAGACACCAAGGGAATCATAATCATACTTGTTTTTAAAGCCCACGCTTCATGAGAATGGGACAGACGTGAAAATCTAACCAGGTCATCCTTGAGTTCAAGTGGACATTTGTGCCAAATTTGAAGAAATTCCCTCCAGGCGTTCCTGAGAGTTTGCGTTCACGAGAATGGACCCGACGAACGGACAACCCGAAAACACAATGCCTCCGGCCATGGCTGTCACCAGCATGGAGCCATGAAAATGGGAACACCAACATCCATCTGTTATTCCATAGACACTGTCCCCAACCTCCAAGCAGGCAGGTCAACCATGACAGCAGAATATTCAGAAATTTCCCCACCTCAGGGTGAATTCCATCAATCTGTCACTTTATAACTGCAGGGCTTTCTGACCACCTCAGTGACCTACACCATAAGGAACGGCAAGGCTTCCCCTAAGCCTTTCAACTGTGCCTCCACTGTGTTGGCAGCATTCTGAACTTCCTCAAATTGTTCCTTTTATCACCCAAGTCAGCAGTATTCCTATCCCTGTTGAGAACATCTTTCTGGAGACCACCAGCGGGTTCTTGGGTTGCTGCCATGACAGGCACAAGTGACCTCCTGGCTCAGACTTGGAGGGATCGTATACACAATGGGTCACTCAAACACCATGTCCCTAACCTTGTCCAAGATGCAGCAAATATTCTCTAGAGGTAAACTGGCTGTAGCTGGTATCCCTCCATGTTCTACAACAGCTTTAGCTGCTTCCTCAGCCGAAAAGTGACATTCAACCTCCAAGGGTAAACATACCTCCAACAAACCAGACCACCACTCGAAACCTTTAGGGTCCAAATTGTGGGGTTTCTGAGGCAAGAGATTTATTGAAAGATATCCTAGAGGCATTAACACTATCATGACAAAAATGGTTTGTGTGGATTGCATTGGTTGCCTCAGGATGGAGATGATTTAATTTATACTGCACATCACTCACTTTAAAGTTTAAATCTATGTCATCAGCCTCTGCAAGGATGAGAGGGGCTTGAAATTGGAGAAGACATAAGTATGTTATGCCTCCCCAGCATTTCATTTTCATTCATATTCTTTTTTTCCTTTTTCAAACGTTATATATTATAATGCTTTACGGGTTGTATCACACAGAAATAGATACTCTACTAAGAACACCAACAAGCAGTAAGATGCCTACATGATGGCTACTGTGTTATCTCTCTGAAAAGGAGCTTTTCAAGTCAGAATTCTTTAAGTTTGAGCATTAGGAGTCACGATGAGACATCTCCAGTGGCCAGACATTTCCAGTTGGATATGACATTTGCTTCTTTGAGGTTTCAGGGCACAGCAGTACTGAACTCTTTGAAATGCCAAGGGGACAGTAGATTGTGTATTTGAACAGCTAGACTCTTTGTGAATACAATCACCTAGAGCGTCTAAGAGACAGGACATTTGAATAATGTCCTTAAAGGAAAAACACAAAACAGGTAAATTTCAATAGACATGCATGTCATTGTCCATCTAAAAGACGCACAGTTTATGTTTACAATCCTAAAGGGAGAAGAAAACGGAAAGAAATTTGTCCTCGGAAGCACGTTTATCATCAGATATTTTCCAGGTTTCGGTGTCTCCATGTCTCAGTGTGTCCACATGAGGCATGAACACTGATGCTTGAGGCAAAGAAATAGCTGTAAGTGATAGGACAGAGGAAACATAAAAGTAAGAGGGAAGCGGGAATATACAGTAGCATGCTGAGGTGGCTGTGGAGATGCGTGGGGTGGTACTGTACCTCCGTTGCCAGTGACGTGGGTGCCTAATAGAGTGGTAGGATCTGGAGGGATGGAATGTAGGGGGGGAGTGGTGGATGGAGGCAGGGTTGTGGGGACGTCTGGTGGGGGGGGGATAGACAGACACACATATACAAAACAATACAACAACAAAAAATGAATTCACATGGGGGCAGTTACATACTTTAAAAAAGCAACACAAACTGGTCAAAACATTATACAGTGATGGGAAACAAAAAAAGTATGATTATGAAACAATTCAAAGCCTGAAAAAAATAGTTGAAAACACTTTTTGAAACGCAATAATGAGATACTGTTGATGCAAAGTGATGCACTACACGACATACATTAGTTTAATTGCTCATCCTTTTTGCGTGGCTTCTCATACAATTTACTTTTAATGACTTCCTTTGCGTCAATTTTCCCATGAGTCATATTTAAGAGACAAACACATAGGTACTTTTGTGTTATACCTGTTCATCGTTAACTGTATATAGAGCATCAAGGACAAGACATTTTCCTCAATTCCCCCCAGGTGTTCTTAAGATACCGCTTTCACAAGAATGGGACGAACGCATGGAAGGACAGCGGAGAAACATAACGCCTCAGGCAACGGCGGTCACTGGCGCAGAGGCATAATTGCAATATGAGTGATGGAAGAAACATTTTAGCAAATTGCCATTTTCAAGTTATGTTCAGAGTACCACACCTCTATATTTTCATCATCATTGAAATTTCATATGTTCTGTCTTTGAATATGAGGGTCATTTCTGTAGCATGAGTCTGCTAATGTTGGCTCAAGTCTGTGAGCAAAGATCCAACACTGGAAACCTCTCTACACCAAATGAAAGAAGTCATTTAACAAATGATCGGTGCCAATGATCCAGGTTTGCAAGGATGATTTCAGGAGAAGGTAGCCAAGCCATCATTATCATGCTATGTTTTCTATTTCTCACTGCAGCATAATAATAACAGGGCGTCATCCAAGGCAGTGTTTCTCACTGTCACATGTTAGAGCAACAGGAAAAATGGGACTGAAACATTCCGTGACAAAGTTAATGAGGTTACACTACCACGTTGGCTTTTATGTTTGTGTCACTCTGCTTTTTATGGTGAGCTTGAGGCTTTTAATTGGCGGTGGTACTCTTTCTCAGGGCCAACTGTCCTGCGTGTCTCTGTGACATTTCAGCCTCAGCGTGAATCACTAAGCAGCTAAGTGCATGTCGCTGGGAAAGAGGGTAGAGAGAAAACGTCTTCTCGTTGAAGGGGAACCATTAAAAAGGTATTTTCAAAGAATTATGGCAGCAATTGTGAAAGGCTAAAAGGTGTGGTAATCACTAATGAAGGGTAGGAACAGACTGTGTGCCATTTCAAAAGAACAGGTAATGAATAGACCTCTTTGACCGTCCTATATCCCCTTTTTGCGGCATAGAATCTATCAGTTTAATAACATCTCTGCAATTAAGTGCATTGGTTATTCTTGTTGTTACATTGAGCTGAAATTTGAAGGAATTGTTAGATGCACACAGACATTGTGGCATGTTAATTGGAAGTGGAAAATTAATCTTTTAAGGTTTAAGAAATAAAGGCTGATATATCTATTTGAGTGGACCAATAACATTATTTTTGTTATTATTATTTTACCTTGGCGGATCGCAAATCAATATGCTGCTATAGGCTGTCTCTTCTTTTAACTCTGGTAATCAGATTCAGACATGGGTAGGCATTATTCTTATCTGTATGTGAATTCTGCTTGAGAACTTCACAAGTCTCTTCGTTTTAATACAGCCTTCACAAAAGATTTGAATATGAAGGAAAAAACATCATATATATATCAGATAGTATGCCTCAGTCCTGCAGTGCTGACCTGTTTTGTGGCTTTAAATGCAAATATGGCACTTGTGATAAGTAATTTACTAAATTTAACTGAATATCTTGTATTGTTATGACTGCATTTGGGATGCTTTAAAAATAATAAGTCTTCTCACAGTAAATACCAAAATTTGAGTACATTTATATCATTACATTTGTCTTGTCACAGTGGCATCTGGATTAGTATGAAAACCGAAATATAGTGTGACAACAGGAATCATAATTTGTCAAGTTTTAGTTGTGTAACATTTGGATTTGACCTTTCCTTACCTTGAACCTACCCATTTTAATTTAACTCTGCAGAGACTTCTAAGTGCTGCTAGCTGAAGATCAAGTTGTAAGCCATTACAAAGCCCTTCATTTAGAAGATGTCATTATCTTTCTCTGACATTTACATCCTTACTTTCATACATGGATCTAATAAAGCACTTGACTGTCCATGTCTTGAATTTGTGTAATGACATGGCTAACGTCCAGTTCTCAGAGTTTCTTGTTGGAAAAATAATGAACCTGTATTATATTATTATTCTGTTTTGTATGGCCAGCAGGAGGCACTTTCACTGGTTAAAGAAAGAAGTCAGCTTGTTTAGAATATTTTAGACTAAAATTTTAGATTAGAAAATTACACTATTTCTCACATGATTTATTATCTCAGTAAATATTTTCCCAAAGAGTTTATGACATCAATCGCAAGTCTTCTTCAATACAGCACGATGTTCATTTTGTAAATTCCGGACCCATTTAGAGTAAAGTAGACAATAAAGCAGCTTATGCTTTAGGGCGTGTCAACATTGTGATAGACAAATCACTACCACGGTGACCTATCAATCACAGCAGCAATGTGTATCCCTGCCCAGCTCAACCTTCTCATCCAAATATGGTCACTTCTGGCTCCAAAAAACCTAGATGGCAACGGCCAAAATGACAGACTTGAAGCTTCAAAATGGTGGTCGACAAATCGCCGACGTCATGGTGGCTACATCCACTTCTTTCATACAGTCTCTGCATATTACAAGATATTTCACTAGGAGGAAAACCGGACAAGTCTTCAAAACACTTGTGAGAAGTGATACGGGGAGAGATGCAAGAACATGCCCGAGACAGGAATTATTTTTTCTGTAAATGGATGTCCGCAAGAAGCCAGCAATTCAATTTGAAAAACCAAGAAAAAGGAGAGAATATGTAGGAGAGAATGATTGGGGAGATGCGGGCAGCAAGGAGTGTCTGTTCTGCAGAGAGAAAATACGTTTTTCCATCGTCTCGAATCTTAAACTCTCACTGGCCAGTTAAAACAATTTGTACACTGCAGGATATTTAATACATAGCGGGCTAAAGACTCGGCATTAGTCACATTCTCCATCGGCTCCACATCTGGTTAGTTACAACTGTACATCTAACAAGGACAGTCATGAACCTACTAGAAAACACAGCTCTGTCAAAGCACAGCTTTCTCTCATGTTCATCAGATTAGCTCTGCTTTCAAATTAGAGAGCAAATAAAACACCCCCTAAGTGCATGTAATGAAAATAATAATAATATTTGATTGATCCACTTAGGGAAAATATATTTTGTCTCCAGTCGTAAGATCTCTCTGGCCAAACACTACCAGCATTTTTGTTCCTCGTCACACACAACCGAAGTCGCTAAAACAGAGGGTAAAAGAGATGCGTCTCTGCTCTGCTCATTTTTAAGCATTATTCCTTAATGCCAGGAGACAAATGGCAGCGGAGAAACGGAAGTGAGGAAGAGCTATCTATTTTCCCTCATACTTAGTCCCTTTACCCCCCACCTCCTCTGGCGTTACTAGGAATTACTTATCCTTCCTGGTGATATTCCTGACAATGCAGCACTAAATTCTGCCACCCTCACACATTTCTCTCCTGTGTGTGTGTGTGTATGTGTGTAGGATCTGGGACGCAGGTTTATTTAAGGAAAGGCGTTGGTGGCATTTGTGTCACCCAAGGCCCTTATTCTCCCTGTGAGGGATGGTACCACTAATCACTCCGAGCACTGACACAGTATGCAGATCGGGATGTATTATAATCCTGGTTTTTGCAACAGAGTTTGGAGCTATTGCCTGTGAGGTTCGTAGTTTCCACTATTTCATGTAGCATTATTGGAGTCCAAGGCATCCTGCATTGCAGCTTTTTCCCCCTCATCCATATGACGTTTCAAATGAGTAACTGATGAAGATTTCTCTCCGTTTCTTTTCCTTTCGACTTGACCACACGAAACACAATTACCCACATCAGCCTTTCCTTTTGACTCACCATAGACGTAGAGCACATATTCAGCACTGCTGGTCCCTAGGTGGTTGCCGGCTTCGCAGCGGTAGGTGCCATTGTCTGTCTTGTTGAGTGAAGTAAAGGTGAGCTCCCTCCCCTCTACAATCATCCTGTCCAGGTCAGGAAGTTCACCCCCGTCCTTTGTCCACATCACAGGATCTGGCCTGGGAGGTGAGAGGATGTGAAAGAGAAACAAGGTATGATTCATTTTCCTGTCTGAAGCATAATATAAAAGGCTGACATAAACTAATACAGAATTTGAGTGACTTACGAAGGGTTTCCTTTGGACACACACTCCAGCTTTAAGTACTGACCCTCCTGGGGGACTGCAAGGGAGTGGATAATCTGCACACGAGGAGCATCTAGGAGAGACAGAGAGGCACGAAGTGAGGGCTGACGATGAGGATTACATACATATCAAGATAAACATCCCATAATTTACTTAATATTGGGTCATGATTTAACAATTAACTAAAATATTCAAACACAAATGGTTAAAAGCATCAGACAAAAAAGGTTCATCCCCTTGAAGAAAATCCTATAATTTTCAAAATATGATTGAAATATAACTATTTAAGACGTAATGTAAAAAAGAACTGTAACTTATCATATGTCATTATAAGAACATTGTCATGATTCAAACAATGGAGTTTTTCATGAATGATAAATTATCAAATTCTCTTTGCCATCCAACAGGATTCTGCAGCCTTACAAGCATTCTTAGCAACTTCCTCTTTAATGTAATTGCTCTTCCGTACACTGTGAGGTTTCACAACGTATACTCCATGTGTGTGTGTTTGAGTATGTGCATGTTTCAGTGTGTTCACTCACAGTGGACCTCCAGTACTTCTGTGGCTTGCTGCGGTGTCTGTGTGAGTGCCACATGGTCTACTTTGCAGGTGTAGGCCACTCCATCATCATTTCTGTCCACGTGCAGCTGCAGAGAGCTCCGTACTGTAAATGTCTTCCCACTTGCATTCACCTCTTTGGCACCTTTGGAGAAAGTTGCATACTGTCACAGATGCAGCACATTTATCTTGCAAGGTGTGAGGGCCGCACATCAATGTGATGCCCCTGTGTACGACAGGCCCCGCTTTACCACCACAGCCAGACTCTACCAAGGTCTTCTATCCATATATCCCAGTATCTTTATATTGATATCTTCATCATAGTTCAAGGGCATTTTGGAGGAATTATGTATACAACTATTCCTGTAAGAATTCTGCACTAGAAAATGCTTTACACAAAAGACTGAATAGAAAACAAACAAATGATCAGATGAGAATAACAATTCCAGCTCACATCACACTTCTCCAAGGATGCTGCTTTGGCATCTGTACAGCACACGACCCATTCCAGACTCTAACAAAACCCACATGCCTCACTTCTAGGTCAGTGGCTCTTTGAATGTAATGTGTATATTTACACCCTAGGCCTTTTTAAACACCTCTGGCCCCAACTACTATCTTTGCTTGGGGCTTTCTGGGCTTCACTGCTCCCACACAATGTCTAAATCTCACCAACACTTTCCTCTCCCTCCAACCCATCTACGTGACAACCATTTCCAGCCTCATTGGGACAAAAACATTACCAGGGCCAATCAGATCTTTGGCAATAACTTCAATCAGCCTAGTTGCAAAGACTCATTCTACACAGTCCTCTCCATCTGTACAACCTGCTCTCAGAGCTATCCCTGCCACGCCTGCCTTGTAATATCCATCCACACAGCTGAGTTACCTCTCTGTGTCCATTAACACCCTAATCATTGCCAAGGCATTGGAGAACTCCTTCAACCTAGCTTCCTAAAATTATCGACCGGAAATTTGGCTTGCTCCTTGAGCACATCATTCCACTTATTGCTTCATTTGCCATCCCCACTGATATGGGCCTTAGATAAGCCAAATTTGTTTGATTGACATTCCACGACCAACCCTCATGACACCAATCTTCGACCACCACTTTAATGTTCTTGTAATTTTATTGGCTCACAATAAATCATCATCCCTGAAAGCAGTGATGCCTAGTAAGTAGAGAGGTCCTTATAACAAGAAGATCACAGAGTTGACTTCCTCCGTCCCCATCAAACTGCCCTTGAGCTCGACACTCCGTACCTGGCCCTGGGTGCTCTGTGCCCAGCCTAAATAACCAGAGTTTCAACGCCAATCAGAATGACAGTCCAGTACTAGACTTATATTCTCTTTACATACCCAGAACACCTCATTAATGCTTGCTGTTTAACACCCTCCTAGATGTTAAAAAAAAAAGAATAACCTTCTGGATTCGGGAAACGTCAAAGTTTGATAGTGATCCTCCACAAATTATAGCAAAAAACTTGAAGAACTGTAACTGTATTCAGGTACCAGACGACATTTTTAGTATGCCAATTTTTGACGAAGCCTTAGCCTACGCATATGACACGAATGTTCTCCGAAATTCAGAGACTGTTAAGTACGTGTTATGCAACACAAAATGACCATCCTCCTCCAGACTACACACATGCCAACATTCACAACTCACCACCGCTAGCTCTGCTTTTACCTACGAGCTGTAACTTAATTTGTAATACGTAACCACCCCCAAGCAGGTATTTTTAAAACATTCTTCTCACACACATCTGCTCAACCAAGTCTTTTGGGGCTTGATGGTCTGCTCACATCATGCCAGCAGCCTGTATTTTAAACCATGTCAAGCCTGTTCATTCCCACTCCTACAAGGTTTTTTTCATTCTGGTAAAAAAAAATACTGTAATACTGCATCCAGCTGTCCAGGCTTATCTCTTCATTCAGGTGTTGCCCTGCTTTGTAAAAATGTCCTTTTTTCTTTAATCATCATAACAAATTCAAGAAGGCTTCCGTGTATGTAGAGTCTCTTTCTCTGTCTTATGCTGGCCACCTTTGTTTGTATCTCCTGAAGAGACTGTTTACGCTCCATATCCTTCTCTCCTCTGCACTCATCTGCTCCACTTTCTAAGCATTCCACCCCACTGTCTCCTCTCCCTCTCCATTCTGCCAATCAACCATTCTCCTCAGTCGCTCCCCCCCAACTGAGGCAATGAGCCCGCCTCCCCTAGAGATGAATGACTGACAGCTCTGCAGTGTTAGCAACATCCACACAGACAACAAGGGAGAGGGGGAATGGCTGAGTTTCTTTCTCACAAAGAAGAAATAGAAGGCGGCAAGAGAGTGAGAGAGAGTGGAGGCCTAGAGAGATGGGACATCTCATTTCTAATCTCTTGGCATGCTTTGGCAGTTGCAAACATTCTCCTACTATTTTTATTAGTTATTCCATGTCCTCATAGACTGCTTCTCCCTGCCTCCTTGTCTCTCCATTAGTTAAACTTGTCTTTCTCCGTCTGTCTGCAGTAGGTTCCTCCCACAGATGTACGGTTGTGAAAGTAACCTTATCCCTCTTCTTGTTAAATTCCTGTATTCTTCTGTTAATATTTGTATGTTATTCTTGAGGTTAGTATTGGGGTTAACGGTCGGTTATGGCTTGACTGACTTGCCCCCCAAAAAATTGCAATTACACACTGACGCATCTGAAAAATAAAGTCACTTGATTTCAAAACGGGTATCCTAACAGCTGTTTCAAATTCCTCTGTATTTTTGTTTGTTTGAAGTTTGTAAAGTGTATAATAACTTTTTTTTTAAGTATGCCAATTCAAAATACTTAAATCTCAATGAATCATCCTGAATTGTGCAACTAACCTGATGTTCTGACTCTATTTATTATTGTAGGTTGGCCTTCAGCAAAAGAAATAAACCCACAGGATTATTTCTAAAAGTTAGTTCATAATACTTGTATGCAATAGAGAAGCTCACTTTCTGTATAATTATACTGTGTGATTATAGTGTCTAGACCCATTTACACTCTTAAAAGCCTGATTGCATCTGTGAGATTCAGGATAAGAGGACTACAAAACGTGCTTGCACAACGTTGGAGTTCATTAATATCATTAAACGGTCCAAAGTCTTTTTAGATCCACTTTGAGGACTTAATAACAGTTGTCTAACAGCAAGTAGTACCTCATTGTTACAATGTGTCAATCTGCATGCACTCAATGGCTTCTGCACTGTTGTGTGTAAACAGGAGTGTGGGGGAGAGAAGGTACTGCATACAAAAAAAAGCCTGGCAGTATTTGTCCGTGAGGTAGGTGCTGCTCACAGCTCTGCATCGTTGGCGCGAGCCAAGACATAGCCTTGGAGGATTAGAAATGGAAATGACAGGCGTAAAAGTGTGAGAATCTGACCCTTTTATGCCATTTCACAGGGGAGAGGAACGACCCAAGAAAAAGAAGATGGGGGGGGGGGGGGGAAAGAGAAGAAAGACAGAATACTGCTGGGGTGGCGGAGGAATCATCAACAACGGCAACAGAGTTGACTAATCCTGGCAGCAGGGGTCCGGGGGCTGACTCAATATACCCTGAACTGCATCCCATCTGAGATTTAAAACAATTTGCCTGTGAAATCGCCTGTGGGTGAGGGCGAGGAAAAGCAAAATATATAACAAAATGCTCATTTAGATACAATAAAATTTACAATGCAAACAGAAAATAAAATGTTGCCAGATAACTACCTCGTCTGCATGCTTTCATTTGTCTGTCAGATGAGCTGCGCAGCAATAAGTATGGCTTAACTCTGAAACAAGAGCACTAATACACAGCAGGCTCCAGCTCCAGTGAGGTGCGGAGATGATATAGTGTGCCAGCCACCGTCTTCTCACATATTCTGGCCACCCTGCAGCGTCAGGGAGCTGGGCCTGTTGGCTGAGCTGTCTTACCAGTTCGACTCCGCACTTATCTGACGGGTGACTATGACCAGGGAGCACTGTTGAGTTTCTATGGTATCAGTGCCTGGCAGACCCGTCATAATGTCCTTTCTGACATGAAACTTTCTGAGCATTTACAGCTGAGAAATGTCTGCTGTGGATACTGACGACAGGTTTTTTTCCGCCCTCAAAGGGAGAGGTCTGATAGGTCTTGGTGCCTTGGCATTTAAAACTGGACAGGTGCTCCACCTCCAGGATGTTGCTCTTAATGGACATAGACAGCGGGGGTAGCAATCTGATCTTATCTTCTTTCGCCACAGTGCTCAAGTCTAACTCCGTTAACCCGATCAAACACTCTTATGATGCCAGAGAAAGAGGATAAAGTAGGTACACCTCGACCTCGGCATATTAAATGAAGGTGAAACAAGTTTAAAGAGAAAGAAAGACAGTGGGGGTGGCGCATGAGAATTTCATGCTCAAGATAATTCTGCTCTTCATTTTACCTATCTTGTGTTTGAAAGGTTTGACAGAAACAATTGCAAGTTGTGATGCTACAAAGAGATGTAAAAAAGCATAAAACGAGAGAGCTTTACTTTATCTGAACCCAGTGCCTTGATGTTAACTAACATACCAACAGATTTCAACAGAACTCATTACAGGCATGTGTGCAAGTTGTGCTTGTCCGACACATGTATACAGGGATATAGAGGGTGAATATGCGTTTTTGTGTGTGTGACTTAGACATCTTTTATTCATGCCACTGTGACTTGCAGGAGCCATCTTGAAATTACATCTTTAATGGTCATTGATCCACACAACCCCAGGGAGCTGGATAGTATAAATGCAGTCCCAAAACAGACTTTTGAAGTAGTGTGCAGCGCTTTCGAACGCTGTCGAAATGACTGAAAAGATATTCCTCTTTTAAGTGGAAAACGACTTTATATTCCTGAACTTAATTCTTATTTTAGTGTTCACAATGTCGCTAGCAGTCTCATCAACTTCAACATCATCCTCTTTGAAATAAGCTCCAGGAGCTATAGCCTATTCACTCTCCTCGATACTTCTTTCCAGAGCAAACCTTAGAATAACGGTGGCCACCTTATTCTGTTTTCACTCAAAGTAGTCAAGGACAATTACCCACAAATGAAGAGAAAGCCAGCACAATTTGAAAAGGTTTGTTCAGTCACTATTCAACTCTTCAGTGTGCGGGCAGACTTGAGTGATAGCGTACTGAAGAGTCAGCAGACAACGACCGAAAATAATGCAAGTTATGTCTGCAGTAATAGTTCCTTGTCCTTGACTAACAACTTTGACAACAGAATAGGGACGTGGCCGCACAGCGAATTTGAATCAGATCTTTGTGTTTTCTTCCTTAAGCCCCGTTGGAATAGAGTTATCGCGTAACACGATGAAGCAATAACCTCTACAGTTTAGGTCAGGGAGTACGATAATACTAGTCTGATAGCGAACATCCCCACCCTTATTTGAAATAAATATTCATTTCATCTCTGCCTTGCTTGGTCTCCACACAGCTCCCTCTGGTTCAGTGGTGTGTAAACAAGTGCTACATGTGGTGATATTGGCAGAGGTCTCTCTGGGTTATGGTGTGTAACTGAGATAGAAATATATCATTACTGGGTGGGGACTGAGGGGATCTGGGGGACAAAGAGACTGAGAAATAAGAATATTGGATCCTCACACACAAGCTTATGTCCTCACATGCAGGCTGTCTGCTCCATCTGTCTGTTTTGCTCACACACATAAATACACACACACTTAGCATAGGGTGTCCGTTAACTGCATGCGAATGGGTGATGGACTGCTCCAGTGGCTCTGCTGGTAATATAATCTTCTCTATTCCCCCAGATCCCACACCAATATGTCACAATTGTCATTTATTCCCAGCATGGTCGCCCACAATCAGATGGCTTTTCACATTGAACACACCCTGATCCTGTCAGGATGATGAACACTCCAGTTGCACTCACATACACCGACACATGCATGCATACATTGTGTATTAGCCTGCGTTGCTCTTTTGTGTTTGCTTTCCTTCATGTTTATTTATATTGCCTGTTTTAAAAAAGTCAGACCGCTGAAGAGTGGCTTGCACGCAAATAAACTCTATTGGTGAGATATAGAACAAGTCACACTGACTGTGTCTTGCTTACAATTCACACCTTCCTATTAATACAAAAAAAACTTGACCAAGTAATGATTTATGGTGTGACAAAAAAGAACATGTGTAAATGTGTCAATCACAATCTCACAAACTGATTTTTTTCCTGAACTAAATACTACCTGAATACGTCTGACAAAAGCATCACACTGATTGACGAACTGCTAATTAAAAACAGACACCTTGTCAGGAGAGGCAGGGTATTAATCAAGGAATCAATGTGTCCTTCACCTTTGAAACCAATAATTTCTGTGGTGTAATAAAAAAGATAATGGTGACAAGGTTAGCCACTAAGATTTGATGAGAGATTTAATCAGAGATGATCATTTGTGGTGTTAAAAATCAGATTGGGATTTTGTCTTCACTCTGTCAAAGAGTCAAAGTGTGAGATTGTCACGCTTTTCTTTTTTGTTATTTAGCGCAGAGGATGTTCTGAGGAAGTCTGAATAGACGTGATGAGACAAATTCAATATTATCTCCCAACTACAGTTAATCAAATGGAAAGACACCATGATATCTGCTTGAAACTGTGTGCAAAACCAGCATTGATCTGGGCTTATCTGCTTGCTTATCTGGACCCTGGTAAACCCTCATGTGAGATAGCAGGCTGAGCTGTCTGGGCTTATGCCGGGGTAGAAAGGGTGTAATGGCACACACCGAGAAAGCTTTTCAGTGAATTCAGCGAGGGCCGAAACATTACCTCTGATCGAAATTCTTGACCATTCCAACAGCAGATCTGACAAGAATCTTCTAATCTGACGTTTGGATAAAGTCTCAAGGTTCTGCTTTCTGTTTTGGGACAATGTTACCGAGACTTCTTTTACAAAAAATAAAAATGAGGACACAATGTGAATGTTCTTTTCATTATATATATATATTAAAAAACGGCCATCTTTACAAATAGTTTCAACGTTAAGAGTTTTAAACGTTATTGGTGTCCTTTCTGGGCAAAAAACTACAACCTTGTCACAGTGAATAATATACTGATATGAAATTGTACAAGACCCAAATTAAAGGGAGTAGTGTGCCAAGTTGAGGAGAGAATTATAGCATCTGACCTTAATGAGATGGCGTATCCTCTTGAGACTACCTTCACTTCAAACCACCAAGGATATCTCTGACTACCTGTTAACTTTCTGTGGCAAATTGAAAGAACATTATGTCCTGGCTAGGTTTCCATTTGCCTTACAGGGAGCTCTTTTCTCAGTCGTGTGCCACTGGGAGAAGCCATAATCACCCGTAGAGACACAATAAGCCTGTAAGGAAAAACACCCACTCTGCTAATTAGTATATATATATATATATATATATATATATATATATATATTCTTCTATAAGCTTCATGTTCCTCAGAAAAGCAACAAGAGGAACTGTAAAGTGGAGTGACAAATTACTATAATACATTAGAGAAAAACATGGTGATTAGAAAAAAGTTAAACAACCAAAATGCAACTAGAGGAACTACTCACAGACATTATTTAATGAGTGAAATATGAATGGGATTATTGTTTGTAGAACATACATGTGTGAGAATGTTTATAGAGATTCAACTATTCCATATGATAATAATGACAATATGTTTTTAATGATGAAATGCAATTTGTAATTTAAAATGTTCTACATTTAGTTGAGCATTTAGGATGTGCAACACCTGGCTGCTTGTTATTCTCACTACTGAGTTTCAGTGATCTGTTGGGTTACACAAAGACTTTGACAGTGCCTCTGCAAACCAGTATTGTTTATGGCAGTTCTAATACAACAAAAATGTAATCTGTGATTCTCAATCCTATCTCTTTGTTTACACATGCAGTCATTTGAATTAGAAAAGGGTGATTTGCATTTTGTTATCTGCCTTCAATCTACTTTGTGAAACAGCATAAAGACCTTTGTAAAAAAGTTCTGCAACTGTGCTGATGATCTGTGACAGTCTGCCCCACTGGGCTTTACATTTTATTTGATACAGAACCACATCTGTTTCTCTGTTCCTCAAAGAGCTCATCTCGTCATTTCATGTCCCTATCTCTCTTTTCTTCAATATTTTTTTTCTCATTCTCCCTCTCTTGCTCCTGTTCAAACAATTACAAAGCCGATGGTTCATCAAGTAGAACAGAACAGGGGCTGGGTGGAAATGAGGTGTGTATTCCAGTCAGTGTGATTTAGAACTGCCCTCTGATAACAAGGGAGGTTAATGTAACGGTCTCAGGCCACAGGACACTTGCTGAATCCGCTCTATTAGAAACAACTTGTTCGGAAAAGATTACACCGTTGAGACATCGGCTGCAGCAGTTTCATGGTATCAGTTTCATGAAAAAGACTTTCAATGTATTCTATAACACAAAGTCCTATTTTCTGGTACATTTGCTCTCTGTTGGTCTGAGCCATGCTGCAATGTGATAGTCAATAGATTTTAGTGTCTGACAACACAGTGGAGATTGTGGGCCTAATGGAACGGTATAACATAAAGGGAAGTTATAGCATGGTATTGGAAATATCAATAAATCCGTAAATATTTTTTACTTCAGCAACTTCAGTAATAGCACAGAATGATTAACTTTATCTATTTAAAACTACAGTAAATAACTTAACTGCTTCATTGAGAAAATCCTCACAATTACAAATATGTAGTCCAATTAATAAGGAACATATTCTTTTTTTTCTAAATATCAATTTGCCATGTTTTATAACAACTAAGGTGAAACCCTTGACATATTGTCTGAATGACATTTAGGGCTGTCCTTGACCAAAGAAATTGTTTTCTCGACTAGTTGATTCGTTGATTTAATCACATTAAGTTTCTTGGAAATAAGTCATTCAGCATAAAAAATTCTCAAAAAATAAACAACTTACCAACTAAAGAAATGTCAGTCGACAAAAAACAAAATGGCTGATTTGTTTACAAATGAGTCGACTAATCGACTAAGAGGGGGCAGCCCTGATGACATTACACATGAGTTTGTGTACCCAAAGCAGTGATGCAGATGTACTGTATATGCAGGTACAGATGTTACATACCTTTGACCTCCTTTTCATTCCTGAACCAGCGCAGGTCGGCAGCGGGCTTGCTGCCCTGAGTCATGCAGGTCAGAGTGATGTGGTCCCCCTCCAAAGCGGGCTTCGTCAGGCCATCGATCTCTGGCTTCTCTGGCACACCTGAAGGATGGAATGGGAAATTACAGCGATGGAACTTATTTACACACTGCGGAATGTCATTATGCAACAATAATATTGTTATGCCTTATTGGAAATTCTCCTCTGGCTTGCGCTCCTGCAGGCAGATTAGAGAGCAGACTACGGAGCAGCAGCCCTGAGCAGCCGTCTTCAAGGGTCAGTTCACCAAAATTACAGAGAAGTATGTTTTCTCACATACCTCTAGTTGTATCAACCAATGTGTTTATGATTAAATCAGGAAAATATTTACGAGAGCATAAAGTTATTCGTAGATTTAGCCTCTGAATTTGGTGTGAACACTTTTTTAATAGCACCAGGTGTAAGTAGACAAATATGTTTTTGTTTGTGTGTATGTGTGTGTGTTTGTATAGGTGTGTTTGTGTGTGTAAATGTGAGTAAGCAAAGGCTTGTAGTCACAGAGGAGGCCACGAGGTTGTACAGAAAATGTTAATTACTGGCCTTTCCTATAATGAGTGTTTTAAGTGTGTAGAGGCTGCCCTTCTAGTGTCAATGAGCAATAAGTCTGCCTCAGGCTGAGAGTCTGAAAGGTCTGTCAGTCAATGCCATTGACTGACTCTGGCCTTGTCTGTCTCACCACCTCCAGTAATGTTTATTACCAGACTCCTGTTTTCTGTTTACCATCCATTTGAAGGAAAAAAAACTGCATCCACAATCCTAACAATGGCTGCTGCTTGGTAAATACAGCATACAGTGATATCTTTCCCTCCTAAACGAACTAAATCCTTAACGTTTTTTCTGTGCACGTTTGTTGAATGCATAGGTTTTTAAGTGTGTGAAGTGTCTCTATATCTAACTGAGTACTGCGCTGCATGTATACGTATGGGAATGATTAAGTGTGGCTTGACTCAGAAAAGTGTTTGATGGTTTTTCTCCAAGACTGAACAAGATTAACAGATGAAATACAATGTTAATTTTATACAGTCACGTTCCCCCTTGGGTGGTTAGAGGCTGCTAATCCGTCTCTCTCTGTTTGTATGTGTGTGCATGCGCGTGTGTGAATGTAGAGGACTGTGGGTCCGTTTGTTTGTATGCTCATTTGTGCGTCATGGATCTGTATGTGCTGTGGAGTATCCATGTGTGCATGACTGTACACATTTATAAAAGATGCATTTAATACAACATACAGAGAGGTAATTTCTTTAAGAAGTTATTTAGAACTAAAATCAAAGTCAGCTACTATTACCAATAAGAAAAATAACTGAGGATTAAGTCTGTCATGTTGCCAAGCTAGCTGCATGGCAATGTCGATCCAACACTTTGGTCCAGAAATACCTATTGGATGGATTGCCATGGAATTGTGTAGAGAAATTCATGACTCCCCAATGGATGAATTCTAATGACTTTGGTGATTCCATGACTTTTCCGAGCACCACCATGAGATCTGAAATGTCTCACTTACTCTGAAATTTGTTGCACATATTCACCCCTCAGGATGATATGTAATAATTTTGGTGACCCCTGAAAGGACCAATATATGACATTCTGAGCATTAATATAGCAGCGAACAACTATAAAGATCCATAAAGATCCAGAGGGGTTATGTCTACATGAGCAGGGATGGAAGTTGCTCTCCCTCTGTGTGTGTTGTAATCAGAGCCTCTCCTTGCTTTGTTTATATATCCGGGCCGTCCGCGCATGCTTTTAGTTCATGTTCGTACATGTGAGCGTACCCCACTGATAGGCTCATGGCCGCCACTCTGCACTGCTGTCATATGGCGATTACAACTGATAAAGCCCTAGATGACGACATCATTGTGGAAGCATATAGCACCCACCCTCCAGTTACCCCTCGGGTGTTAGCTGTCAGCACTTTTGCCATTGTATGCACTGTTTGCACGTTTAGCACTGTGAGCATGTTAAGATCCCTTAAGAGGCAATAGAAATGCCCCAATCTCGTATTATCTTTCCACACCATCAGGTCAAATTTTTATTTTTCCAGTAATTTGTTTTCCAACCAAATACCTGCAAAACTAATGCCGTTCCTATTAGCTTCAGCTGTTCTTCATGTATAGTTAAATTACGATGAACCAAAATGGTAAACATGATAAACTCCAATTATACCTGCTAAACTCCATCCTGTTGGCGTAGTCATTGTGAGTGTGTTAGAATGTTAAACAGTTAGATCAAAGTCCTGCCTCGTCGGTCGTGTTGCACCATTACTATTTTCATACCCAAGAGTTCACATTTCATTATTTCACGCTTCAAATCATGTAATTCATTTCTAAACATATTTATATTGTTTTCAAAATAGTGTGTGAGCTAAAAGATAAACACATGTATATTTATTCACAAATGTATGTTGAGAAGATCTGAATTTGAGGCTCAATTCAGTTTGATATTTTGTCCAAATCATTTTCAATGTTTTCTTGTTTTCATTCCCAGCACACTTTCCTGAAGCAGTGGCAGATAAAACCAGGCCATCCACAGGCCATTTTGAATGTTTAATAAATCTCCCTGTTTCCTGGCTTGCACCATTAACTATTGTTCAGTATTGCAAAAATAATTTCCCCCATATCCTGATTGAGCAGTAGCCTTTAATGTCTCTAATTCTCTGAACGCTTGTTAACACAGAGAGCCTGCTAATGGTCCTGGAGTGCACTAGGACATCTATTAACATTAGCGAAAACTAATTGGCAAGATAATAAGCCCAGTGGCAGGAAATGAGAGAAAGTTTGTGAGGGGCGATGATCACAACACAAACATTACTAGAGGGGCCAACAGTATGCTTTTATTTGTCTGCAGATGCTGGAGTAAGCAACGGACGATTTGTAACCACTGTCGATTTGTTCATTTTAGTTTGTCTTAAAGGAGAAAACAAAAGACAGAACCAATAATGGTTTGGACTGAAAAATTAACCAAAAAGCATAACTAGAAAGCATTCAAAGCATAACCTCCACCAAGGATGCACAATTGTCTAGAGGTGCTATTTTTACTGGGCCCATCTAATGTTTGGTGATATATTGCACTTTTAAGGTCTTAAACTTACACACTAAACAATTATACTATAGACCTTTTTCACAGCAGACATTAGAATGTCCCAATAAGCTTTTCCAAATAGACAAAATGCACGATGTCACAAACATTAGCCTCTGTCGACTGTAAGGCATTGCAACCACACGCAATGTGATTAAGTGAGCGAAACAACTTTTTCTCCGCCCTCGTCTTTCTTACTAATCTACTAATTTTGCCGTCTCTCCAAATGTGTAATCCACAGTTGAAAGCAACGCCTGTGCTTCAAAGTAATTCGGGGGAAATGTAGGATTTTCTTAACTAAAGTTGAGGTTGAAGGAAGGTGTGCGCAACCTAAACTAATGTTGTTGCAGACTGATCTTAAGTAACAGTGAAGTCACAAATGAACATTTCCATTAAGCAGGAATTAAATACTATACCTAATATGAAATCGGTACTTACCAAGAACCGTCATGTAGGCTTTGGCTGTTCTGACAGGCATGGTGAAGAGAGAACAGGTGTACATGCCTTCATCCGTCAGCGTGACATCACTGATGCTAATGGTCAACTCTGACCACGACGCATGCACCAGCTCAATCCTGTTGTCCCTTAAAGCTGGACAGAGAGACAGACAGAGACAGAGAGGGAGTTAGTAAACATAACAAAATAGAAACGGTGTGTTACTTGATGTCCCTTCTGTACATTTTACTTCTGTGGGGGCACAATATGCACACAGACAAACAGTCAAATAGACAGAGAGAAAGAGAGACGGGGTAGACAAGGCACATTAACCATGTGCGTTGTGCAACATGAAAAAGAGAGGTCAGTGATATGCTACTTTGCTGCTCTATTGTATGATGCTGAACATGTGCATAGTGTTGAAAAAAACAAAACAGTGCCACGTTAACCACACACACATTAATTAATGCTAAAGTTGGTGGTATAGTATAGTTTTTGCTCGTGCCTAAATATGTAGGGCTCATTTCCATTTTATACTTTGACATGAAAAATAGTACTTGAGGTAGTGTTGTGTTGTGTAAGTGATATATGCATGAATACATTTAAATGAATAAAATCAAATCTAAATTCGAACTGAAATGGGACCTCAGACCACCTCTATATTGAAACATACCCATACCATTTTCTGTGGTGGAAACCCTCGCAGATATTTTACTTATATGAAAATGTAATCTTACAAAAGACATAACAGGAATGAAAATCAATACTGCAATAACAGGCTGGGAAAAAGGCCAAATGAGAATTTTGGCAAGATGTGAGAGTTGAAATGGATTTGCTGAAATTGGATGGCTTGTTGAAAGATACTCCATGGTCCTCAAAGTACAGACTTTGTACTTCTTGTCTGTGATACAGTGGGAGCAAGTTTTCAGAAATTGGTAATACCTTGAACATGATATAATTCATGCCTGTTGTATTCAAAAGGGGTGCATTGTGATGTACAAAACAAAACCACCGAAAAGGCTGACTTCTACTGTAAAAAGACAATATGTGGATCGTTGAGTGCGATAAAAAGTTAATCCATTCTGTGTCTGTGGCCTTGGCTGCTCAAGCGATTTATGCAAGCCTTCCTTTTGTACAACACCTTTCTACAAACCTTATTTAATAGGAACAGCTCTCCATCAAAGTGACTCAGAAAACATCTCGTTCAAGTGCAGTGTGTGTGTGTGTCTGTGTGTGTGTGTGTGTGTGTGTTTGTGTGTGTGTGTGTGTGTGTGTTTGTGTGACTGTTTGGGTTCAGCAAAAAAGATTATTGATCATCTTGGCACATTTGTTGATGTTTTCTTTCATATGAGGCTACATGAAAGAACATTCTTATCTTATGGTAATTTGGGATAAATCCCATAAAATGTAAAGCACCCTGGTTGTGTTACCTCTCGACAAAGACTTGAAGAGTAAAGGCCATCAGACAGTCTGTTTGTAGAGTATGTTAAAGAATGGCTGGCTGAATGGTAAAAATGATACAAGAGGTATCTAAAGAACTGAAACTGTGTTTCAACATCCTAAGGCATTACAAAAAGTCAGCATTACAAAAAGTCAGCATTACAAAAAGTCTCTCTCCCATAGTTTCAAAGTTTTCAAAACAATAATTTTTTTTAAAACTACAACACAACCCTTAATTAGTTTACTCTATATCAAACACTTGAGTAAATACAAATCCATAAAACAATGTACCTACAAAGTCAATTAACTTTGAAAAGAGCTTTAAGGAACTTGCGACAATGAATGGTATTGCCAAAGGTCTCAGTCTTACATTTGATTGATTGAATCAATGGCGACTGCTGCAGTAGATGTGTTTTTACCCACGTACGTCTGGAATTTGTCAGTCACTGGTAAATGTCTATAACCCTTGAGGTGACTGTGAAGGAGATATTGGCACACAAGCTGCATTTTTTTAATTTTCTTTTTTTACAGAGTCTGTGTATGCATTGCTGCAATGATCATGGAACTGACAAATGTAGAAAAATGTCAGCGAGCACACTATCTCGTGTCATTTGGACTGCCAAGGGATGGATAGCTTTGCTTTGCCGGCTCCACGCTAAACACCTACAGTAAATGGCAGTAGAGTTGTAATCAGTTTGGCTAAACGACAGCTGCTCTCTCTCGTTTATTATTGCATTTGTTCTGTCCCTTCCTGTCCCTCACAACACCGGTTATCTCTACAGGCTGTGTACTGAGCCTGGGCAGGCGTGACACGTTGATATGAGCACATGCCATATCTTTAGGCTCGACACTGGTGACAGTACATTCCTGTTTCTGTGTGTGTGTGTGTGTGTGTGTGTGCGTGTTTGTACGAGTACACATCGCCATCAATGCAAGACCAATAAATTAGATGTAGTTTGACTGCCAGTTCAGTTAATGGTGAGACCTGTACTAAAAAGATTGTCATTAATTCAGTATGTATGCACACAAATATATAAACCTTGTCCCCTTTAAAAAATAAACTAAGACAAAGAATAGATTCTCTTTGCCTCTGTCTTTCCTTTCTGTCACTTTCTCTCCTTCCTCCAACCCCCACAGACCTCATTCTGTCGGCTCTGGCAGCTCCACTAACCTGTGAATGTGTACAAGCTAAACAATGCTTCTTTTCAACAGTTGTCTTATTTGCTTTGGGCAAGGAAGTATGAGCAGGCAAATGTCTGAACATACATCCACTGTGGCTGGCTGGCTCGCTGTCGCGATGCAGCTCTACTTTCTTCCTTCCCGCTCTTCATCAGCCCATTGTGGGAAGTTGTTTGTGTGAGACTGAGGGTAGTGGGTAGATAGATAGTTCTTTGACTTCTTGGTCAGTTTAAGCAAGGTAACGAGAACTCAATGACCTCAAAAGCTGTGATGACATTGCGTCCGCATTGATAATGAGAGACGAGAGCCTAATTGAAACGTGACTTGGCTGAAGCAACTGCGTTGAATAACTGGTAATATCAAAACTTCTCCTCATCACCTGCATGTTGTTGAACACAGATTATAAAAAGATAATAATCTGAAGATTCTGATCATTTAAGTTAGAATCTGGATTTAGTGATCCTATAATGCTTTAAGTGTTGTTTCATGCCGATTTCAGTGGTTAAAGGCGGCAATCAGGATCATTTAGATGCCAAAAAGCAGGATCATCCTGATCCCCCTGGAAAGCTGGATTTAAAAAAACAAACAAAAAAAACATGAAAGGTGTTGCGCATAACCGTGAAATAGTGATATAACTGGTAAATATGCTATAATACGGTCAAAATACAGAGAAAAAAATGATTTTTTTTCATTTAATCAAATGAATAAAACCTTAAAAACAAATTCTCACATCAATGGCTTTGTCTTTAAATTGTTAGAGTCCTGATGGTCTTATAGCCTATTTGTCACAATTAATTTAAATTGGAAATAAACATTTAAATAACCTTGATCTATTTAAAATATCAAAACCAAGATTTGGTCATTTGTACACTTGCAAGATTTTACAAATGTAGACTGTGAATCTGTCTCAAAGAGTGAACACACACACACACACACACACACACACACACACACACACACACACACACACACACACACACACACATATACACATCACTCAAATTCTTAAAGGATTTATCTATTAAATGAACAACAAAGTCTTCTATCTTTTCCCCTTCTCTCCCTAGCAATGTAACCTCCCTTTTCTCATTCTACGCCCAGTGAAAGGTTGGATATCGACGGAGCGAGCAGACGAGAGGTAACGCATCCTTTGCTATTTGTCTGTGAAGGCGCTGCAGCTGCCTGCCATCCATTAGACACTATTACTGCTGTCAGTCCAGAATGTGTTCAAGGAGGATGTTATTGTCGACAACAACAAAGGGTGGCGGATTTGTATTACAAAATATCTACTAACTGAATGTACGTCCATATTTCTTTGCTCATTTAGCCTTTATCTGCATCTCTCCCTGTAAGAGAGACAGAAAGCAAAGCAGCACTTGTCAGCATCAAAGTTTGATTTGTTTCTGCAACAAATGGTCAATACACCTCCATCTATTTTGCTGCTGAAGTACACAGAGCAGAGAGCAGAGAGCAGAGAGCAAGAGAGAGAGAGTTGTCTTTCATACATTTGATTTCCTTAATCTCGGCAGAACAAATACGCAGTACCTTGAGACGCTGGCAATTTTATGAGTTTGCCGACGCCGATGCAGTTTCATATTCAGAAACCCAGTGGAGGCAGAAAGATTGCTCATCTTATTATGAGGGCTGATGACCCTCGGCTCGAAGGCCGTGTTGCGCTTCCCCTGAATGAAGCCATGACTGATCAGATAAGAGAGAGTAAACGGCTATAACATCGGAGTCACAAGGCTCTCTATTCCCAAACAGCATATTCAGAAAGGGACAGAACAGAGAGGGGAAAAGTCATCTTAAGAAAACTCTGTAAAGGACAAGAAGAAAGAGACATCTTTGAAAATGAGAAGTGAGAGGGAGAAGGTCAAACATGTTGTGTGTCTTTTAAATTAAAAGTGACGTTTTCATTCTGGGAGAAGATGTTAAGTCAGCCGGTAAAACAGTCCTATCTAAAGTATGGATTCAATCATAATCTTTGAACCATTAATGAGTAAGAGGTTAATACAATTTTAAAAAATGTGTCGGGAAATTTCCACTCAACCATTTCTTCTCACCCGAGGCTCAGCAACTTTTTTTCCACCATTAAAGATGCTTCCTCCTTCACATTATATTTCTCTAAACATCCTGCTTTGCTTTTTTTGGTTTCCAAACTTGCACAGCAAAATTGTACTGTAACTTGTAGCTATTTGACAACCCATGAATGCATCACGAGCACAGTCACAAAAACACGACACAACACCCTTTCCCCAGCTCCAAATGCTAGTTATGGGGCTTGGTCTTTTTGTTGAGTATCGAAAATCTGAGTACGACACAGTCAGACGTAGTGGTAAATGCGGTGAATGCCAGGGATTCATTTTGATCACCATTAATCTATGATACAAGATGGCGTAGGGCCCCAAAACTGTCCATTAATTAACCTTCATGTTCACAACACTTGGTTTGTAAGTGCCACAAAGGAGCTCGGGAACCAAACTACAGGAGTGGAAGTGAGTCCAAAAAACATTTTCCAACTCAACATGGGGAAACCC